TCTATTAATCAAGATGCAGTGGTTTACTTTCTCACCTAAGCTTTTATGTGTTGTACTGATTAGTAACTTTTTTTCCAGCTAAGACAGTTTATTATTTCTCAATCTTTCTTTTCCTTTATTAAATGAATACTTTATCCACGAAGAGCAATTCCCCGAGAAAATGGCGACACTTAAAATCGCGCATAATTAATTACAAGTATTATCGAGATGTACGACTTACTGCACTTCTATGGTAGTAATTATGATGGAAGAGACATACCTGTAGGTCACGCAAGAGGACTCCCACCAGACACTGTGTCTGTCGTACGAATCGGCCCTTTTGATCATTTCCTCGTAGACGGTTTTCGTATCAATGGCGAATATTTGTGGTTTTTTCGTTTTTCGAATCGTCTGTTGAGGTAGGACTATCGGGTCGAGCATGTCCGACAAGTGGTTGAAAAATTTCTCGAACCCCCTCCGGTTGCTGGTTGACTCCATTCTATTCTTCTTCTTGAGGATCCCCATTTTAAGGGTGAATTTGAAGTTAGAATTTTGCAAACTCGGTCAAAATGTTCACAGATTGAATTTTGATCGGCGTGGACAAATCGGGCCGAAAAAATCAAATGCTGGGATAAACAGATGCGATTTAGTTGGCTTTTGTTTAAAACATTAAACATGCGATTATAAGAATGCAAAAATTAGTTTTCTTCTTTGAAAAAAATAAATCATTAGATGCTATGACTTGAAGTCAGAGGATGCGGTAGCCGACTAATTAGATTCGGCTCGTAGACCGAGCTGTCGTGGGTTCGATTCTCACCGCCGCCCCTGGAGTTTTCTGACCCCTCTTCCAAAAATTCTCTCTCTCTCTCTCTCTCTCTCTCACTCTCTCTTTCTCTCTCGTACACTAACTCTTAATCTCAATCTCATTGTCAACCCCTCTCCCTTTCTCTCTCTCTCTCTCTCTCTCTCTCTCTCTCTCTCTCTCTCTCTCTCTCTCTCTGTCTCACTGTTTCATTTTTTTACGATTTTTAGTGGTGCACACTTCCCATTCAAAAAGTCTCTTTCCCTCTCTGGACTGTTTTTTATTTGAGATATTTTCGTTTTTTTGTTCTTTCCCCCTTTCTAGCTGGCCCGTTCATACCATTTCAGTCTGTATGCTCGCTTTCCCTGTTTCTCTCTCTCTCTCTCTCTCTCTCTCTCTCTCTCTCTCTCTCTCTTTCTCTTTCTCTTTCTATTCTTTCTCTACTATTCTCAATCTTCCCAATGTGTAAATATTTTGTTTTTGAATTTATAATTAAGCCCAATTTCTCCAAACTTTGTTCTTATGTATGGTCATGGCATCATGGTATCTTATTTATGGTCATGGCAAATGCTAGATTGACTGAGAATTTCTACCGTTTTAAAACAAATGGCATTTTGGTATGTCCTCGTGTAGCTAAATATACTCGAGGGATGAGCACAATTTCTCACTTTTTATTCCCAGTTAATATTTCGCAATACTAATTCGTTCTATCAATTTTTCTTACTAACAAAGAGAAGCCGTTAAACAAACTGTATCCTATGTATAAATTTCTCAATAGCATAATAAACATCCTGGTTTTACGTGCGGTTCTGGAGGAAGTAACCCGAAGGTGTCATCGATTGTAAATAGTTAATGGGATACTGTAAACTTAGCTTTTCATTGTCGGCGTTGTCACCAGCTAGTGACTCATCATGATTTATGGAAACTCACTTAACAATTTTCGCTGCAGTCGTTTTATTGATTTTTTTAACTAGGAATACATATATTTATTTTACTCATTTCTTCTTCAGATAAATCTAATGGATAAGACTCTACATTTAAATTATCGAACAACATTTCCTGGAGTATTTCAAGTTTTTTTTCCGATATCCAATAAGCAACCTGAGAGTATATATGTATATATATTATATATCATCACGTTCTTGGCTAATTGAAAAGGGTTATAATATTTGTTGTACTTGTACTGGGAATTGCGGTAGGAGGAGAGTTCAGTTCGCAGGATGACAATTGTGCAATGGAAAAAGAAATGATTATTGGTGGTGTGTTGTTCAATCTTATTAAAAAGTTTTTTAATTTTTTATTAGGTTTCATGGTTTGCTTGACCAAATAAATTCTTTTCAATTAATTACGGTTTTGGTTGAGATAAAAAGTCAGTGTCACAAGCGGGATCCGAACCCTCGACCTTCGGCTAAATACGCCGTTGCTCTACCACTTGGGATATCGAGACTTCGATCCACTCGGACACTAACCTTCCATCTCAACCACACCTTTTGACTTTTCCATCCTTTTTGCCATTTTTCAAATGTCGTGAAATCTATTTGATTGGGGGCCGCGGTAGCCGAGTGGTTANTCTCAATCTCTCTGTCTCTCTCTCTCTCTCTCTCTCTCTCTCTCTCTCTCTCTCTCTCTCTCTCTCTCTCTCTCTCTGTCTCTCTGTCTCACTGTTTCATTTTTTTACGATTTTTAGTGGTGCACACTTCCCATTCAAAAAGTCTCTTTCCCTCTCTGGACTGTTTTTTATTTGAGATATTTTCGTTTTTTTGTTCTTTCCCCCTTTCTAGCTGGCCCGTTCATACCATTTCAGTCTGTATGCTCGCTTTCCCTGTTTCTCTCTCTCTCTCTCTCTCTCTCTCTCTCTCTCTCTCTCTCTCTTTCTCTTTCTCTTTCTATTCTTTCTCTACTATTCTCAATCTTCCCAATGTGTAAATATTTTGTTTTTGAATTTATAATTAAGCCCAATTTCTCCAAACTTTGTTCTTATGTATGGTCATGGCATCATGGTATCTTATTTATGGTCATGGCAAATGCTAGATTGACTGAGAATTTCTACCGTTTTAAAACAAATGGCATTTTGGTATGTCCTCGTGTAGCTAAATATACTCGAGGGATGAGCACAATTTCTCACTTTTTATTCCCAGTTAATATTTCGCAATACTAATTCGTTCTATCAATTTTTCTTACTAACAAAGAGAAGCCGTTAAACAAACTGTATCCTATGTATAAATTTCTCAATAGCATAATAAACATCCTGGTTTTACGTGCGGTTCTGGAGGAAGTAACCCGAAGGTGTCATCGATTGTAAATAGTTAATGGGATACTGTAAACTTAGCTTTTCATTGTCGGCGTTGTCACCAGCTAGTGACTCATCATGATTTATGGAAACTCACTTAACAATTTTCGCTGCAGTCGTTTTATTGATTTTTTTAACTAGGAATACATATATTTATTTTACTCATTTCTTCTTCAGATAAATCTAATGGATAAGACTCTACATTTAAATTATCGAACAACATTTCCTGGAGTATTTCAAGTTTTTTTTCCGATATCCAATAAGCAACCTGAGAGTATATATGTATATATATTATATATCATCACGTTCTTGGCTAATTGAAAAGGGTTATAATATTTGTTGTACTTGTACTGGGAATTGCGGTAGGAGGAGAGTTCAGTTCGCAGGATGACAATTGTGCAATGGAAAAAGAAATGATTATTGGTGGTGTGTTGTTCAATCTTATTAAAAAGTTTTTTAATTTTTTATTAGGTTTCATGGTTTGCTTGACCAAATAAATTCTTTTCAATTAATTACGGTTTTGGTTGAGATAAAAAGTCAGTGTCACAAGCGGGATCCGAACCCTCGACCTTCGGCTAAATACGCCGTTGCTCTACCACTTGGGATATCGAGACTTCGATCCACTCGGACACTAACCTTCCATCTCAACCACACCTTTTGACTTTTCCATCCTTTTTGCCATTTTTCAAATGTCGTGAAATCTATTTGATTGGGGGCCGCGGTAGCCGAGTGGTTAAGGCGTCAGACTCTCGGCTAGTAGATCCCGCGGTCGTGGGTTCGATCCCCACCGTCGCCTCTGAACTTTTTCTGACGCCTAAGGGGACCGGTGGCCGCAATTGAAAGAAATTGACACAGCACTCATCAATAGAAGGGGCGGTATCGGATCTCAGCGACCCTGAATTTGGTCCCAACCCCCTTCAAAAATGAGTTTCTTCGATGGAAGAACACCGATACAACGGGGGCTCAAGTTCACATTTGTGTTGCGAGCCGTCCCCCAAAATATGGAGCCAGGGATAAAGTACAATAAGCTGTACAGCTCAGCTGCAGTGCTCAGGAGGGAACTCCTCCAGTCCCTGGTATCCCCCCCCCCAAAAAAAAAATCTATTTGATTATCGGCGACAAAAGAAATGGCCAGAGCTTTAGTGAAGTATACTTTGTTTTTCTTATTACATTTTATTAGGTTTCGTGGTCCGCTTGCCCAAATAAATTCTTTCCAATTAATGGATTGGATCGAAGTCACAACAGCTCAAGTGGTTAGAACAGCGGCGTATTTAGCCGAAGGTCGTGGGTTCGAATCCCGCTCGTGGCACCGCCTTTTTTATTTCAACCAAAACCTTAATTTATTAAAAAGATAGTTTCTAGACATAGTTGTTTTCAAACATCCGGATTTCAAGCTTACAGCTCATCATCAGCTCCTTCAACCTGATGATGAATCGAATACTGAATGGTGTTAATAAGTATTATAACTGCATCGTCCTTCTTGTTGTCAGATTTCATAGGAATGTTTAGATTTGTCAGGAGGAATTAATGGTCTCTTGGAAAAGGGTACGGTTAACTGTGCCATGGGAAAGAGATGATTTTGTTAGTTAGGTAAGTGGAAGTACTGGAGAGTGATCCGATGACATCGATGGTCGTTTAAGCTCTGGATGGATGAGGACCCTACGCCCAACACGACAAAGAAATCCAATAGGTGTGAGAAACGAATTATAATTGACGTATGATCAATATTATGGTCAAGGTGTAGATTAAAAACGAAATTCCAACTTTGCCAGACTTTTGACCCGGGTTTCAAGGTCATCATCAGTCTAGTAAAGAAAACACTTGATTTTTAAAGTTATGCGTAAACAAAGTATTCATAGCAGTCTGAGACAAGTACAATTTTTAAATTGAAAACTTATGCTCGAGAAATGTTACAATTAGGCGACTTACTTGTACACGACTGGGTTCTGGTCCCACCAGTTCTTCGATGAATCCCGTTCTTCTGCCCTTTTCGTGAGGTTTTCGCAGATGGTCCTCTTGTCCAATTGTTTCTTCTTGTCAGCTTCTATTTTCAGCCTGTCGGACTCGGTGAAAATCGGCGAGCTGACAGGGTCGAGCATGTCCGCAGGATCGGCGAACTGGAGCTCGCCCAGTTTCCGATCCATCTTCTTATCCTTCGGCGACGCGTATTTATGGGAGCTTTGCTTCTTCTTGGATTGCAACATTGTTTTGAATGTTTTGCTTTATTCCCTAAGTCTGGTTTCTTACACCTTAAATTTTGACTACTTATTTTTTACAATTGAAATATCATTAGAGAAAGAAAAACTTTAAATTTTTGCTTTTTTGGGCATGACACCAGAAACATATGTTTTTTATTTCTTTAATTCAATCCGACTATATGATCCAATTAGTTAATTAATTATATAGTTTTTGTTTAGCAAAAATAAATAAATATTTAACTAAATTCTTTTGACCTTATTAACTTATTTTGTGACGAGCCTAATAGGCTAAATTCAAAAATAAACCAAATAAAATAAAATTTAAAAAATCCACTCTTTTTATTTAATTAATGCAATAGATTCTAAAATTTACCCTTTCTTCTTTAGAATAAAATAAGGAAATAAATATAAAAAATCCACACTCAGCCAGAGTCCGTACAGTACAGATCAAAAACTGTGACCACCTCCGCCGTAAGCATCTTTCCATCCTATTGAACTTTCACTCTGAAGAGTTGTCACTCCCTGATGTGACCCTAGGGTTACACAGGGTTCAGGGGAATTTACCTACCCAGTTATGCGTTGGGTCGCTAGTATTCCTCTTAAGCCAGATGCCCAGGAGAATATCGCTTCCCAACCACGGGGTTAGGGGTTCGACAGAAAAGACGAGAAAAGGTGTCTGTTTACAAAATGGGTAATCTTCGTGTTTATTATTCTTAGTAAATCCGTCATTAAAAATAATGATTAACTCGATTAGGTTTCCAATTAAATTATTTTCAATTAATTAATCTTTATGTAAGGTATTGGCTGAGATAAAAAAGTCAGTGTCACGAGCAGGATTCGAACCCACGACCTTCGGCTAAATACGCCGCTGCTCTACAACTTGAGCTATCGTGACTTCGATCCACTCGGACACCAGGTTCCCACCTCAACCCACCTTTTACGCACTGACTTAATTCATTGAAAATAATGATTAACAATTTGTTTGGTTTTTGGTTTGTATTTTCTAGTTTGTTTTATACAACTCACAAGAATATATTAGTTAATTTAATTAAAATTAATAGAATAATAATAAATTACATATATTCCTATTCATTTTTGCGCAGTTTATAAAACTCTGTAATATCATTTTCGTCTTTTTCTGTTCTTAAATAATGGTAGGTTATTTTTTCCATTTTCCACCTAAAGAGCAGATGACCTAACCAGCCCACTTCCAATTCTTTGATTTTATGTTGGTTCTGACGCCTTTGATTTCCGTTTTAGTCTTTATTTTTCTCTTTTTTTCGATGTTCTCTCGTTTTTGTATTCAGAATATCATGTTCCATGGCCCTAGAGTGGACAGAAAAAGGTAGACCAAAGTACTTCCTAGTAGGTTTGCCCATGATTCTCCTCTTATTTAAAACCTAGGAGTCTTTGACCAGAACCTTTCCTGGCATCCTCACATTTCCCAAATTTTCGGCCATTGTATCGCCTCCTTCAGCCTATTTCGTCGGTCCTGGCTTCTCTTACCATTCTCCACCCACAAACTCCTTGGATCTTCCCTTCCTCGATTAAAACTCTGTGGCATACAGTGGTCTCTCGGCAGGGGGGACGTGCGATTGAAGCGGATTATGAATTGTTCCGCAAGATTCGTGTTCGGCACCCCACGGGGGACCCAGGTGTCGGGGTTGTAATCCCAACTTTCCTGGCTCTACCCCTCCTTCTGTGCACAGTATTTCCTAGGTTCCTTTCTTTTCCAGTCCATCCCCCACTCGTCGTCCTCCTTACATCACCCAATCCCTCCAATTCAACTCCTCACACACTCGCAACACCCGCTCATCCCCAATTGACCTTATCCGTCCGCAACATACAACCCATACCTTCAAAAGATCCTTTCCGATCCGAGCTCCTAAACTCTGGAACTCCCTTCCCCTTTCTATTCGTCACGCTGCCTCCTTTTCCTCCTTTAAATCCCACCCGTATAATCACCCTCCAAACAGAAACGAAACCATAATATTTGATATTTTTGTTTAAAATTCTTATGGCTTGCCTTACTTGTAAACATTGTTCCTAGATTTTTATTTCATTTTATTTTTCATTTCATGAACTGAAGAAGGAAATTCCTTTATTTATTTCATGTACATTATTCTAAAGCTGGGCGCACACTAGGCTGGTAGGGCGGCGCGGTGCGGCTCGGAGCCGGAGGAAGTTGCCAGACTTCTGGAATCCGGCTCCGCGCCGCGTTACCTTCCTAGTGTGCGCCGGGGCGGTCGGAAATCGTTGAGTTCCTTCTCAAATATGACACTGTATCTTTAAAACAGGCATACCTCCATGGCACGCCAGTTTTTATATTCTGCCCTAGAAAGCCGAGAACTCCAACCCAATAATAGAATACCCGTAATAGAATTACATCGAGACTGCAGAGCGAGGATGAAAATGGACGAAGTAGGAGTCAACAAGTCAGACAGGGAGATCTTCTTTCTTCGAACGGTTTAATATGTTTTGGAGCAAGTTTGCCGATCATTTAAGCGAGAAAACACAGCTAAGTGTTATTCATGGAATCAGCCTAAAATACATAAGGAACAAATCAACCCCCGCCCCACCAACTTTAACCTATGGCACTAAAACTTGGTCTTTAACGAAAAGCACTTTGGTTAGCGACCATTTAAAGATTAATAGAATCTAGTAGGAAGAACAAAGTAGAAAAAGAAGAAAAAATTGTTTATTATCCAATAAGTCTATTATACATTAATATGTTACTTATTAACCAAATTACGACTTGATTAACCGTCTGTCGAAAGCTCAGGCCCTTTAAGATATATTATGCACAAATTCTTTGACAATTTACAAAATACAATGAACAATAAATTTAAAAACAGATTTACTTTGATATTTTCCAATTTTAAATTAACTCAAAGATTAAACTAACCAAGAAGGAATCATCTGTATTTATAAGCTTTTTAACAGTTTTAGTGGCATTTCTATCTCCCCTGCATCATTTGTCTGTCTAATTGCTTTGTCTCCCTTTAGGAAAGGAGAATTGAACTTAGTCTGAATTCTTTCAATATGGGGCAAACGCATATAAAGTGATACAAGTCTTCGCACTTACTCAGATTAAATAGGAAGCATTTACTGAACGAACTTCCCTCGTCTTCTTCGCGTATGGTTTGAAATTAGGATGCAATAGGTCCTTTCCTTATCTTAAAAATCCTTCTAGCTTATCTAAGCTACCCCCTTAGTCCTTGACTAAATTAGCGCATTTAATTTCTGGGTCGATTTCTTGCTCACAGATAAATTTTGGAACATCACAGTCCTCCGTCTGAGGAAGGCGAGCTGTTCGTTTTTGAATCCTTGAATTAACTTTGAACTCTTGAATTAACCAAGCAATTTCTTTTAGGAGACAACCATCAAGGGAATTCAAGTGGTTTGGAACTTTACTGTTCTGACATCAGTTACCAATTTTCATACCAGTAAGTTCCTTCCTTAAGTGTCTCAAAGGCGAGTTTTTTTAGGTAGACGTTAATACGGCTTATCGGCTACCTTTCTAACTTGTATGCTTACGTAAAGTAAAAGTTGAGATTGTCTCCGTCTTCGTCTCCAAGTGAGGGTGAACCTCGGTAACAGGAATATTTTCACAAACATTGTCAGTACTTCTACCGATGTATATTCGTCAATGACCCATACTTCGGCTGCGTAGCAGAGCAGGGTGGAAAATCTGCCTTTTGAATTTTAACGGGATGTCCGGGCTGGAGAAGGCCTTTCCTCATACAGCGTTCATTGCAAATTTAGTAGAATTGGATTTCCCACAGATGTATCACAAATGACCATGTAGGCATTAACGTTATCGTTAAATACGTGAATTCATTCCGCAGCAAATTTTCACTTCACCAAAAAACCACGTCATCCACCCCTCGGAAAAATCATTAGCTTGAATTGCGCCAATTTCCCACATAGGTCCTATCTTTTGCGGTACATGCTCAATTTGCCGATGTGCTTTAAACTATCAGGGTTGTCAGCTAAGATCACCAGATGACAGCATAAATTCGCGGATTCTAAACTCGAATACTTAATAGGTAATTTCCGCAAGAAGACAAATAATAATAAGAAGAAAAATAACTTTATTCTGGGACTGATATCCCCTAAAGCTGGGCCCACACTAGGTCGGTGGGGTGGTGCGGAATTTTGAAGGTCCGCACTCTATGTACTATGTAGGAACTGCGTTGGTCGAATTTTCCCCCTCAATCTGACTAGCGGTTTAGTGTTGATTTTACATCTCGAGGAGTCCACACGTCACAACCGTTGGCTTCGTCTTTACAAATATGGCGTCCGAGGGCGGCCGAATATACCCGAACTCAACGATTTCCGACCGCCCCGGCGCACACTAGGCCGATAGATCGGCGCGGCGCGAAGCCGGCTTCCTTAAGTCTGGCAACTTCTCCAAGTTCGGCTCCGCACCGCGCCGACCTGCCGGCCTAGTGTGCGGGGTTGCATTCGTTTCAACGTGTGGTTTTTAGTGACCGTTACTTGATTATTTGGAGGTCGTGAGATGCCTGCTGTCTTTTAGAAAAGTTTTTCTAAAACCTATGTCACACCAGACAGAATCTCACGACCTCGAAATAATCATTCGTTTCACTGCATTTTTCTTGAGGTCGGTTTCGCGCCGCACTACCGACCTAGTGTGCGCCCAGCTTAAAAGTGATCCTTGCTTTGGCCCCCTTCACTGTAGTATTTACTGTGGTGGTAAAATTCGACTTTCTTACCCCCAAATCGAACAATTGACGACAGCGGTTCAATTAAAATCGATTTAGCCTATTGCTTGCTTAATAAGTCAACTTTGAAACATTTCGTTGTACAATCTTCATGTGTTCGCGTTTCATCTTCACGTTTTCTTTATAAACCATTTTCCGATTGTAATATTTTTGCAATATCGTCTTGTAATGTATGTATTTTTGTATGTATCACTGTACTTTTGCGGGATCATTCATTTTTAAGAATAGGTTTGTTAAAACTTAATTTATAGCGTCCAGTTATTTTAGTTGGCGTTCGATGATAGGACAATCGTAATAAACGATCCTCGTGAGTTATTCACAAGCTCGCTTTCGTTCCATTCGGGCCGAGAGGAATAAAACAAACAAAGTTACACTCTTAAATATCAAGGTCGCGCGTTTCGCGAATAAACAAACACTGTTGGAACAAGTAGATAAGTTGAGCCGTTTGACGTTTACGCGTGTGGCAATCGGCCCGCGGGCATCGCGGGAGAAATTTCATTTCATTGTCTCGTCTTCTTTGGCCGAAAGTTATGGAGACGAACAGGGCTTTCCAAAGCGATGAAGGTACAGATTTAACTATTTAATTTAATTAAATAAAAACTAACAGTTAAAAACATATAAATCTTAACGATATATCTTTTCTTACGGTTGTTAAAAACAAGAATATTCGCATAATTCATTCATTATAATAATTACAATTAATTAAGGTTTTTGGTTGAGATAAAAAAGTGAATGGCACGAGCGGGATTCGAACCCACAATCCTCGGCTAGATACGCCGCTGCTCTACCACTTGAGCTATCGTGACCTCGATCCGCTCGGACATCAACTTCCTATCTCGACCCCACCTTTTGAGTTTTCCCTCCTTTTTGCCATTTTTCAAATGTCGTGTAATCGGATTGGATTCTCGGCGTCAAATGAAATGGCCACGGAGAATTTTGGTGAAGTATACTTCATTTTTAATTCATTAAATTTACTAATTTCGTGGTCGCTTGACCAATTACTACATTGTAATTAATTAATATTTTTAGTTGAGATAAAAACACGAATTGAAATCTGTGTAATATACAAAAGACAAACACTTTGAGTGAGTAGAAATACTTTGTTTGAATATAAAATATATTTTGCATTGTATAAATTCACTTTTCCACATCCTAAATGTATTTCTTAAATGTAAACATTGTTTGTAAATCCCAGGCCCTGAAGATGATCTCAATAAAAGATCGAAACGTTGGCACGATAAAGAAAATATTTTTCTGAAACCTACATCACACCCGACCGCATCTCACGATATCTGAATAACGTTTGAAATAAACTACAAAAAATATGGGTGTCCTGTTCTTCCGCTACTCGACGAAAATGGTGTAATTTTATGAGCAAAACCATGAAATAAATTGTTAGTTAGATTTTATGAGGAAAACCGTGTAATAAATTATTCGTTAAATTCATTATATCACTGGATGCGACCCGACGAAAATCTGAACAGTGGGAATCGCAGAGCGTAGCATAGGTTATCGTGGCATAGCACAGGGTAATATAATCTTATTGAAAAATCGACTTTGGAGTTGCGTCGGTAACATCGGGTAGCGTCGCATGGCGTTGCATCGGGTAAGTGTGTTCCCGGCTTAAGAGCTGAAATGTACAAGCAATACTACTTCGTATGTTAAAACAGACAAATCCTTTTGCACAGTAGCCGTAAGATCCTGCGATATAAGGACCACACACCTTGAAATAGTCATAAAGCTTGGCTCAATTATTCCGATTATTCAGACTATTCATCCACAACAGACCTTCTATCGAGTCTGGCACTTGGGCTCGCTTTGGAAACTAAAGAACAACCTCCCTCAAGCATACTGAGATCATATCTAACGGACCAATGTTGCTCAGTAGGCAGTAGGGCTGCTTTTCCTCAGTGAAGCATATATTACCTATCTATGATTTAATATACACTGCACTCCTTCCTACAAATGTTAGCATTTTAAAACATACATTCTGATGATACAGCGATCCTTACAAGTAATTCGGACCATAATCACTAAACATATACAACAACACCTGAATTAATTACCAGTACACAAACAATAGATCACAAAATGGAGAATGAAAATAAATCTAAAGAAAATGCGCGTGAGTAAGACCATTGCCCACCGCCGTCCTTGTCCGTTATCTTGGACTTTTCGCGGATAAATGACTGACTTAATCCCCATACAAGACTGAAAAGAAAAAACAAACCGACGTTACAAATAATTAAAAAAACTACTCGATTCACGACCAAAATTACATCGAACACCTGACCTCTGTGGGCGTACGGTTGTGAAGTGCGGGGCTCAATCAAGGATTCCAATTTACAACGACCTTCACATCCCGTTTGTACGAGACCTCATCAAAACACGCTATGAAAAATTCCATTAGTCTCTAAGCATCCACAATAATCTGCTAGTACGACAATGATCACTTACTTGAATTATTATTGAAGCGAAATTATTGAAGCGAAAGTGATCGAAAACTTCTCAGCGAGTCACTAATTACAAGAGACGACACAATCGGTATATATAGAAAATATTTATTTAATCCAATGTTTGTAGTTGTATTAATTAATAAATTTAATAATAAAACTAAAAAACTATAATTAACATTTGTTTCCTTATTAACAAGTGAAATAGTGCAATTATCTCACCTCTATAGTACTTTTATCCGCCCCCACTTGGCATGACGAAATGATCCAAATTTAGATGATCCCTTTTCTATACTACTCCAAATCTTTTCGTTCCCTAAAAGGATTTTTATCCCAAATAACATAGAATTTACGCTAAGTGGTTCACAAAACTTTTAAGTAAAGTTGACTAGAATGTTTTTTTTTTTTAATTCCATGTTCTAGCAGGATTGTATAACGCAAAAAGTAGGATTTACATGCGTAAATTTTTTCCTCATAGGAAATACGATCTAAAAGAGATATTTACGGTAAATCTAAAACCGAAAATAGGAATGAACGACGCAAACCCACCCTACGATCGGTCTGAACTTTCTATTTCTACTTCGTTTAAAAAATCAAGGTGTACGTTGACGGTCATAAGTGGTGCGATAATCCGCATGTGGTCAAAATTTGCATAATTGGAAAAACACCAGAAAGTCAAGACCTAATTAAACAAATTAAAAAACCTATTTACTAGGACATCGAATTTGGTAAAATGTGAACACATTAAATACACATTAGCACAACAATTGAATTTATACAAAAGGTCTAAACATTAAAATTCCCAAGAATTTTTATTGTTTTAATTTGACTGGCCATAAGTTGAATATTTCATCAACTTCCAACTAGTTTATTTCTGAATCCAACCATGAAAACATTGAATTCTTTTAGATTGATTGAATTTTAAAATTTTCTAGCATTGTATAATTTTTTTTAATCTAAAATTTTCTAGCATTGTATAAATAAATTAATTTATTCACATCCTACATGTATTTGTAAAATTTAAACAATGTTTATAAACCAGGCCTTGAAGACGATCTCAATAAAGATCGAAACGTTGGCACGATAAAGAAAATGTTTTTCTGAAACCTACATCACACCAGACCGCATCTCACGATTTCTAATTTTTTTTTTTTAGATCTGAAGATGTTATAATTTATGACAAAAGCTCGGCACGTTTTCTTCATCTGATGATCATTTACCTGATCCTCACTCTTTATAAGCATGTTTAACAGTTATTTAATTTTAGTTTATCTTTAATCCTCACGGGCGTAGTTCCTTGCATTATCAAGAGAGAGCGCATAATTATGATCGGTGCTGAACTATTTTAACTAGATCATCAGATTATTCGAAGATCGTGAGATGCGGTCTGGTGTGACGTAGGTTTTAGAAACACATTTTCTTTATCGTACCAACGTTTCGATCTTTATTGAAAACATCTTCAGGGCCTGGGATTTATAAACATTGTTTAAATTTTACAAATACATGTAGGATGTGACAAAATGAATTTACACAATACTAGAAATTTTCGATTAAACAAATTGAATTTACAATGCTAAAAAAATTTAGATTAAAAAAATGTATTTACACGATGCTAGAAAATTTTAGATTGAAAAAATTGAATTTATACAATGCTAGAAAATTTTAGATTCAAACAAACTATTTGTTCTCACTCAAAATGTTCGTTTTCCGTGTAGAAGTGTCATTCTTGTCTGTCGTGTTGAGAGTGCCAGTTAAATTTCGTACGTGTATAAATACGTGTAACATATACGTGTATAAATTCTTTTTTTTTAATCTAAAATTTTCTAGCATCGTGTAAATACATTTTTTTAATCTAATTTTTTTTAGCATTGTATAAATTCAATTTGTTTAATCGAAAATTTCTAGTATTGTATAAATTCATTTTGTCACGTCCTGCATGTATTTGTAAAATTTAAACAATGTTTTTAAGTCCCCGGCCCTGAAGATGTTCTCAGTAACGATCGAAACGTTGGCACGATAAAGAAAATGTTTTTCTAAAACCTACGTCACACCAGATCGCTTCTCACGATCTCTGAATAATCATTGACTAACAGTCACTAAACACCACACATAGATCATCAGATTTGATTTAGTTGTAATAATCTAATCATACGCATAACAGTAAAAGGAATAAATGAAAAATTGAAAATCTTACTTTAAAAAAATTATAGTAGGTTCAGGGAAGGTTTTATCATTTGAGCTCTGACAAATTTAATATATAAATTACCAATTTATTTTTACTACGTTGAAAACAAATCAGCAGTCTTGTGTAAAGTTGCATTTTTGAACATTTTTTCACATATTTTTTTCCCAATCGCACATATTTTCAGCGATTGACAGGTAGATAATATAGATAGATGGAGAGGGAGTGAGCGAGAGAGGCAAGAAAGGGACAAAGAATGAGTAAGGGAAAAATACATAAAAAACAAGAAATATGGTGGGGGAAAGAGAAGACATGAAAGAAAAGAAACGGAACGAGGGAGAATGAGAAGAGAAAAGAGAGAAAGAAAGGCAGAAGAAGAAAAAAGAAAGAGAGAGCGAGATTATTGGTGTATAGACTATAGAGGTGTATAGGTGGAGGAAGAAGGTAGATAAAATGAAAATGAGAGGAGAGAGAATAAATGAGAGAGAGAGAGAGAGAGAGAGAGAGTGAGAGAGAGGAAGCGAGGGAGAGAGAGAGAGGAAGCGAGGGAGAGAGAGTGAGAAGGAGTGAGAGATAAACAAGAAATAAAGAGAGGAAAAAGAGAAAAAATGAATGAAAAAGTGACAGAAAGAGTGAGAGAGAAAGAAGGCCAGAGTTAGGGATGGTTACGGCCAGTATTGAACATCGTCCTGTGTATTCTTCCATCAGCAGCTCGCCACTCGGAGACACCGCTCACCGTCCATACGCCATTTATGAATTCTCCTTTTTCCTTCCGTTTCGTTCCATCGTCAGTTTCATGCCTGAAACGCAATTTCAGAATGTTAAAAACAACAATTGAGGCGTGTGATGATGGCTGTGAACAGCTCAATGTTTACACATTTATTTTTCTGGCACTTAACCTGTTCTCATCTCATAACATATTTGAGAATATTTTCCTTCATAATTATTTTGTCCTTTTTTTTATTATTGCTCTACTAGATTATAAGTACGAAATGTCAAAAGATTGCACAAATGGCGATGTGCTTGTGAAAAATAAGTTGTAACGTGTTTTTGTTTTCCTCGTGTCTCCTCAGCCAACAGTAACGAGCCGAATCTCTTGGTGAATCCGGTTTTGGAAGTCCTGCTTATGAATATTAAATACAATTCATTTAACAGCTGCATTTAAAGAGAAGTGAAAATTCCGAATAAAAATGTGTCACAAACATGTTTTGGCAGGAGCGCATTGTGACCGTACTTGGGACATGAAACACTTTAGGTCGGACCTTAGAAAGCAAGCATCGCATTATGTTATTTATACAGGATATAAATGCAACCAGGAAGCCTATTTGAAGGGAGTTAACCCTTTCGGGCCCAAAAAACTTTACTGTAGAAACTTACGAAAAATAGTAGCCTCTGCTTTCCTTTTGACAGTACAATCCTGCGTTTCTCCATCTGTTGTCTACCTCTCCGACTGGAGGAGCCGCATGAGCTTCATTTGGAATAATTGCAATCAAGACAAAAGCCTGAAAAAAGAAGATTAATACTCTTTCCTTTAGTATCCTTTTCCGATCCTTCAGTCTTATTTTGTTTTCTCAAATTTCGTTGTCAGAAAAGAAGATAAAGATCAATAAAAGTTTTTTTTTCAGTTTCATTTTAATTGTTTAAACACTATTGATTGAGCTATCCCAGACCAAGGTCAAAAGAACAAACAAGATGAATCCCAAAAAGAAGTTTGACAAATTGTTACAAATTTTATGTGCGATTGGCAACTGTTACATGACGGTTTCCAGGGAGGGCAATTGTACACGCTAAGGTTTCCCATGGTGCCTAAGAAGCCTTGGTTTCAAGGGTGTAAGGGTTCGAGGCGTTTTTTCTCCACGATGGTGCGAATACGTACAAATCAGTTATGGGGCGCGCATAGATTCGGAATAGGAATGAGAGACAGCCCAAATTGCGCGACTTGTGATCAACCAGAAGACCTCAATCACATGATTATCGAATGCCCGGAACACGAGGAGGGGAGAAAAATTTTCCTGGAGAGGATCTATTCCTTGCAGTGTGTAGCAAAACCATTCAGTTTGGAGTCCCTAATTTCACAAGGTAGAGACGTCGTTTACATGCTTCAATATCAATTCACCGAGGGGGGTAAAATAAATATTTCAACAGTCAACGCTCCGGGGGCGGGGTCTCGGGGACCTCAGTGCTTTGAGGCCGTGTATGAATGACTTCTCACTCCGGAAATTTTTGTTCTTTTTGACTTTTGAGTCAAGTAATTGTTTTTGACTTTTGTGTTGCGTTGTCTGGGTTGTTGGGGCGACGTGGTGCGGCGGCTGCGTTCCGGTGGGGGGGCTGGCTGCGGGGTGGAGGGCTGCTCGTGCTTTCTGGGCGATGTTTACCCCCGAGCGAAGGGAGACGTAGACTTTTCCATATACATTTTTGTGTAAATGGTTTTTATCTACGTCTTCCAGGTACCCTCGTAATTATGTACAGGGTAAGTCATTTTTTGACGCACCATTGTAAAATCAACGTGGGTGCGTTTAAATCTGACTCGACTTATTTCCTTTGATTAGTACGTTAATAAAAGAAAGTGAGTCAATTTTCGGTGCACCATAGGAAATCAACGTTGGTGCGTCTAATTATGACTCGGCACATTTTATTTTGTTAGTCTACTACCAAAAAATAGAGCGAGTCACTTTTCGACACACCATTCGTTACAAATTAGTTTTAGTAGGTTGGAAGGAAAATAAACAAAACCAATATTATTAAAACATTCAAACACAATGTAAAAATTAAAAAACAAAATTCTTCACAAATTAATTTGATTAAGGTTTAAGAGTATTTTTTTCGTCCGATCATCGTTTTACGATAGACCAGGCTACTGTGTTGCATCAAAAAGAGGTCTGTTCGAACAATTATTATAATGATTTTGAACATTTTTGGTTTGCTAACAAAGGAGATTGTTACATTTATTTAATTTTTTTAACTTACCAGAAAAAAGGAGATGTTACATTTATTTAACTTTTTTACTTTACCAGAAAAAAGGATATTGTTACATTTATTTAATTTTTTTTACCCGAAAAAAGATGTTACATTTATTTTTTTTCCAGAAAAAAGGATTGTTATTTTTATTTAATTTTTTTACTTTACCAGAAAAAAAGGAGATGTTACATTTATTTTTTTTTATTTTAGCTGAAAAAAGGAGATATTACATTTATTTATTTTTTTTTACTTTACCAGAAAAAAGGAGATGTTACATTTATTTAATTTTTTTAACCAGAAAAAAGGAGATGTTACATTTATTTTTTATTTTACCAGAAAAAATGAGGTTACATTTATTTAATTTTTTTACTTTACCAGAAAAAAAGGAGATTGTTACATCTATTTAATTTTTTTACTTTAGCAGTAAAAATGAGATTTGTTACATTTATTTAATTTTTTTACTTTACCAGAAAAAAAGATGTTACATTTATTTATTTTTTTTATTTTAGCTGAAAAAAGGAGATATTACATTTATTTAATTTTTTTCTTTACCAGAAAAAAGGAGATCGTTACTTTTATTTAATTTTTTTTACTTTACCAGAAAAAAGGAGATTGTTACATTTATTTAATTTTTTTACTTTGCCAGAAAAAAATATTCTTAAATTTTAATCAAATTAATTTGTGAAGAATTTCTTTTTTAATTTTTACATTGTGTTTGAATAATGTTTTAATAATATTGGTTTTGTTTGTTTTCCTTCCAACCTACTAAAACTAATTTGTAACGAATGGTGCGTCGAAAAATGACTCGCCTATTTTTGGGTACGAGACTAACAAAATAAAATGTGCCGAGTCGTAATTAGACGCACCAACTTGATTTTCCTATGGTGCACCGAAAATTGACTCACTTACTTTTATTAACGTATTAATCAAAGGAAATAAGTCGAGTCAGATTTAAACGCACCCACGTTGATTTTCGAATGGTGCGTCAAAAAATGACTCACCCTGTATAATTTAAAAAAAAAAGAAAAAAGGAAGCATGGCAGCTCATTCCACTGCGTGGTCGTGGTCGGTCGCTCTCCGGGGCGCGGCGGCTTCTCCTCGTCGGTTTACCCCGCTTCATAACCATCCCCGGATTGACGGCATGGCTGATGTGTGGTTGCACAAGGCCACAAAAAAAAATAATAATAATAATTAAAAAAAATAAATAAATAAATAAAATAATATATATATATATAATAAATATATGTACATTGAAAAATTTAATTATATTAGATTAATTGGCTGATTGAGTTTTGTGCTAATAAAACGAAAAAATTACAGAAACTGAAAAATGAAAACAGAATTTAATATGTAGTTCATATTAATTTGTGAAATTCTAATCTATTCGACTTTACTAGCATCTTCAGTTTTATTCTGTCCTTTCAAGTACTGAATGTCGTCCTGAGTAATGGGTGAAGGTTGTATACAAGCGTTCCAACCTTACCCTTTGAGTACAAAATTGAAAGTTACGTTATTTTCGTGTATTGATATAAAAATTGCAAGTAATTACAAAAAACGAAGTTTGACTTTTGTTTATTCAATCGTATCTACTTACGAGGAGACTCATTCTTCTGATGTCCTGGTCAAGCACCGAATGTAATAATCTTGGGTGGGGGGTAGGTGTTATATGAGAGCACTCCCACCTAACCCTTCACCGAAGGATGTCTGCGCGAAAAAGTTATTAATACTGATCGAAATTTGTTGTTTGTGTGATGTATTGAGCAAAATTAGCTCATTTGACCTTTGAGAAGCATCTGAGAAGGTTCAGGTCTTACTAAATTTACTTTGCCAATCAACAAAATAAAAAATATGTATCATTATGATATATAGTTTTTCTAAATAGATTATTTGTCATTTTATCATTTGTATATTTTTTAAAATAGTTTTGACTTGTGGATGTTTGTCATTGACATCTTTTAGAATTAAAATAACTTCATACCAACCACTCTTCATTTAAAAAGTAAAATTTATATATCGACTGTTATTTTTAAAATATTTGTTTAATCTTTAATTTTTTATGTTTAAGCTTATTTCTTTTATTCCTCTGTATATGTTTGTTCAGAGAAATAGTCGTAGTTCCGCGCCGGCCGACTAGGGTTTCTGACAATCACGATCTTAGATTTCATTAGATCAAACCCTGAAACGTCCATGGGTGAGAGGGAGGGGAGAGTCTGCATAAGCTAAAGTTTCGACCTTACTACTATCAAGACAGACACCTCCATCTATTTGAATTACTATTTCATTAATATAAAGCGAGAAACCTCAAACCACCAAGACACCACACACTTCAGAAAATATTGAAAGACTTTTGTAGTCGAATGGATCTTCTGAAACAGCTTAAATCTGCACACTCGGGGCAAAACGGGATTATTAAAATTATGAACAGAATATTTCGATAAATCTGTTACGTAACAACAGCAATGTCAACCAACGCTGCCGTGCTGCGCCTACAGGATCAAGAGAAAAACAGAAGAGACGGTCAGTCCTACGCAGTACGCGGTACCGTGAACATCTGTCAAAATAAAATAACACGTTTATCAACGGTGAGCCATAAAAAATAACCATTCAAAAGAAAGGAAACTATTTTGTTCGTTTATTAGAGAAGGAACTTAAATTTTCATTTATAATATTATTTAGATTGTGAAAAAAAATAAATTTTATTTTTTAATTTTTTTTTTTTATTGTAAAAAAAGGAAATTTTTAGTTTTAAATTTACAAAAACACGTAATAAGATGTTTTATATAAAAAAGGGAAATTGTTTTTCATTTATTTAAATTTGGTACATTATAATCTTACTAATTATTAATAAGACTTTATATTTCTTCATGTGAAATTCATCTCTATAATAAACCGATTGTTTAATGATAATTCATTTCAGTATTTGTTCCGTTTTTTATTTTTTATTTTTTAAATTAAGAACTTTGTTAATAACTTCAAAATAAAAAATTTATATACTTTATTTTCTTTTGGGGAAATTGTTGAATGTGGACAAGTTTTAATAAATGAAATTAACAAACAATACAAATTTTGTCTTCTGTTTTTCTGTTGATCATGTAGGCCCAGTACGCAGCGTTGGCTGACCTTGTTGTTGTTGTTACGTAACAATACTAGTTGTCTATTTTTAAACTCGAATTTTGATTACCTATACTGAGATAGAATAAGTGTATTTACTTCCTAATAAATATTTGCCTAGATGCGACAAAGAGATATTATATATATAGTTATATATAATTTTATGTGTGTGTGTATGTATGTTTAAACTATATAAAATTATATATACATTATATATACAAAATTTTTGCTTCAAAACTAAAATTACCATGCTCAAAATGGTAAACAGAAGTGGATTCATTAAACAACAATTAAAATATAAAACGAAAATGTATTAAAAATCAAACAAATGGAAATTATATAGTGCGCTTGTGCCACATGGAGACAAACGAAATTCAAATTCAAATGAACAATAAAACACAATAAACTCGTTGACACCCGAGAATCAGGCCTCTACTTATCTTTGTGTGGAATTGGAAATTTTCTGCCTATCCAACATAATTAAATAATTTTTATAAAAACTCATGAATTTTTTGATCTCGTTTAATTTGGATTGTTAAACTTATTGGATTATTAATTAGTTTTAAATAAACTATAAAAATTATGGGTGTCCTGTTCTGACGCTACCCGACGAAAAGTGTGTAATTTTACGAGCAAAACCATAATATAAATTGTTAGTTAAATTCTTTATATAAAAAAATGTTATTCCGGTGTTTCGATTAATTCTCTAAACCGTTAAAATTAATTTCTTAAAATAATGAATTTTTGATCTCGGTTAATTTGATTTGTATTAAAATAAGAATATTGTAATTAATATAACGACAAAATTACATATACATAGTTTTTCTAATTTTGACGAGGGTTCGCAACAGCAGGTAAACCCTCAGGGTGCGGGTGTTTTTGAAAAAAAGCCCATGTGGAAGCATGCCGGGTTCGAATGATTTTTTTTTTTTTTAATTATGACCTTACCCCCGGGTATTGGCCAAAGACGAAGTATGCCGGGTTCGAATGAAGGGCCGCTGGATTCGAACCCGGGACCTTTTCCTTACAGTGATGAGCGCCGCGTCAACGCCTAAACCGTTACCACCGACGCCTCCCGCTTGAACCTTTTACATATCGTCCTTCTAATGGTTCCGTACAATTGTTAAAATAATCTTTACACAATTATTTATTAATTACACAACTAGTTAGTTATATAAAAATAGCTACATTAAAAAAATCAAACAATTATTGAATGTGGATTTACCGAAGTTCTGAATAAAAAACTTAAAAAAAATACGATTACAATAAAAATTAATACGATTAAATCTCATATTTCTGATTAAAAATCTTTTAAAACAAGTTATTCTCCTGTATATTTTTCTTCTTGAATGTTTCGTTCCTTTCATTTCTTCTCACGTCATGTACATTAAAAATGTTAGTCAGGTAAGCATTACTGCCTTAGATTACTCCATTTTCCTCTATATAATTCCCCATTCACGTTAATTGATTCAATCTGTC